ATGCAGTGAGGCTATGCATGTTCACAATAAACTTTGCCATTGACATACTGGCAAGACGACAATAATTACTCATTATGTACACTTAATTAGAAAACTTTGACACCATTAGATATATTGTAAAGAAATAAATCATATTGCAGCATCTTTACTGAACCCAACTGATCTTGCTGTACGTCATTGCATCATTTATTTAATAATCACAAATTTCTGCAAAATGCCTTAGTATTAATATTTTAATACACGACAACATATATATATTATTCTTTTTATTCGCAAATATTTTGATCAACTTAATTTCAATTTTTTTTAAAGGTAGTCTTTTTGAACTAAAAATAAAAAATCTGAGAATTTTTGGGATTATCATGCTTTATGTCATTTCTTGAGTTGATTCAGCGATACAAGTAGTTCGTAGTAAATGCATGAAGTCTGTATCTACAAAAAAGAGATTCTGTTGAAATTGTGATAATGTTTTGCGTAGTGTTTCTTCTTAAGACTTCTTTCTTGTAAATTTCTCGAGAGAAAGCCAAGATAAGCGAGAAACTGTATTATCTCTCGGGAAATTTAATCCTAAAGCAATAATAAAAAAATTTGGAGAGTTAAGAGTTGATTTTACTTCTTATTCTTTCATAAAATTCGCTGAGCTTATGCTGCTATTTACAATTTGAACGTTTACAGAGACAAACGAAAGAAGTGCACTCATCTTTATATCGTGATTAAATGATATATTTGTTATTTAACGCTTACAAGACTCTTTTTGGTAAATATATATAAAATATTTTCTATTTTTTTCGTAGTCTTCTCGCATTTTTTAGCTATAAATTTATCGATCATTATTTTCTGATTTTAGAAATTTTCGAAAATATTTGCCCATTAGATGTTCAAATGCAAAATATAATACTTTTATATCCTTCATTGTTTCGTTTAAAGTTTTTATTACACATAATTAACTCGTCGTTAAAATAAAGCACAGAAGCAGTATTTTCTAGCAACGGCGAAATAATTAAGGCCATCATTCGTTCGAATACGAAAAAGACTACTGCGAAAAACTGTATTTGCTCGTGGACAATTATTTTCTGGATATCGATTTGAAGAAGAACGGAAATAGTGTCGGAATAGTTTTCTTGGACGTTATTTTATACGGCGCATCCTTGGCTGTTAATCTTGCCAATTAACGGTCTTCAGATGACACAAGAACTATGGTGGCGGCGAAGCAGAAGCGACGCGTAAAAAGGAAGGTAACTTGAAACTTGTAGTGAAACGAAGGAAAATTGGAAGAATTAATGGCGTGTACCTGCGCCCGTCATAATCTTTAAATAATTACGCTCGTAATTTCACGATTTCTCGACATCCTACTTAAACTTCGAAAGAAACGTTCTCGATCAAAGATTTCGCACGAGTTGGTTCTTATCACAATTTTTATTCTTTAAAAAAAGGAAGAGAAAGAATTTAACTATAAGAATATAAGTTTGAGTCATAATGTTGTTTCTGAACGAATATGTCAAATGGGAAGGTTAAAAACTTATTTTAGTATAATTATTATAAATTCTAATATATTTTATATCAAATAATTGAGAAAGAATTTACCAGAAATTATGAATAAAAAAACCTTATAAAATATAACTCTTATGAGATATAAAAATAAAAAATAAAGTAAGAATAACACTTTTAAAGATACAAGAATTAAAAATTAATACAGGAAATACCAGTTTACGGTAAACTGTTTTTAGATGAAAATAGCCAATTCTAATGAAGCAGAATCGACCGGGCTGATGGAAATTATCCGAATAAATGCAGGACATTTCAGTAAATTGCGGCAAAGTGCGGAAATTCGTTGTTGCCGCATGCGAATCTCCGGCTATTTATCGCGCGCGTTTCTCTCTTTCCCGTATATTTCCGCTATGCAAGAACTGTCGAATTAAGCTCGGCATAATCGGGGTAACGAAAGGCGTGTGCTAATTAAGATATAATATTGACTAATGGCCGCTAATTCTAACGCGCATAAATGAAATATAATTCACCCTGCGGCGGACTGTATTACGCCGTAATCGGTTTATGCGGAGCACTTACTTTCAGGAACGTGCTGAGTGATTTAAGTGCCTGCCGCTAATAAGGACAGCTACTATGCCGGGATAAGCGTGTTTGACGTTATTCTTGACTGCTATTAATTTTCATGGCAATTTTCTCGATGTAAGAGATTATTCGTTTCTTTTATATTGATCTGTATCTGATAAAGTTGACATTCTTTGCGTCATGATGAAGTAATTTTACGCGGAATGTCCTAATTTCTTTTTTATACTTGAATTTTATAACGTATTTAAAGCTGATTTTCCTTAATAATAATGTTGGATGTTAATAACTTTTGAGTGACAAAAACTTAAATGTAGAAAATTTCTCAGATGTAGAAAATTTTCGCTTTTAATTTCGAGTCAAAATAAATAAGAAAACTTTTACTTCTTTTATTTGACTCATTTAAGCTTTATCTTGGCGGAATTTTAATCCGAGGGATTATTATCATCAAGATAGTCTTTTGTTCGGATTATGTAACCAAACTGTATTCAAGTATTTTACATTATACCTCTTAAATCTTTTTTCCCGACAATATCTTTGCTAATAAATTATTTTGCTCAATTTCCCATTCTTAATAGATTAAAAGATTGCAATCGGCCACAAAGATATTCAATCCACGTAGAGCTTATATACAAAAAAAGATATATATAAGAAGAGCTCTTCTTTCGCCTTTTGCTCCGAGGAAAATTTGCGGTTGCGCGCCGCAAAGTTTATCTTGCCTTCCTTCGTCTTTTTCTTTTCGCGAGAGAGAAAAAAGGAAGAGAAAGAATCTCGGAAAGTTCCGGCGGCAGAAGAGAGGAAGATCCGGAAAGAGAGCTCTCTCGGCGTGGAAATGGGAAAAATCACGGACAGCGCGGCGCATCTCAAGGATTCTCGGGTTAAAGTCACCGTGCACGCCGAAATCCCGGTCAGGGCAAACGAAATTAGGAGCACGGTGAACTGGTCCTTTGCGAGAACTCCAGCTCGTAGTAGCAGAAGGAGCAGTCTGAGATGAGCCCTGTTAAAATCCGATAAATCTCGCGAATACGTCGGACGTTCCGTTGAACATGAAAGCACAACTTTCAACACACTGCTTTCTCTCGCAAAACGGATTACTCGTCAACGGCGAGTAATAGGATCAATCCAAGATGCGCATAATGTATGGAAGATATAGATTAGTCCTAATGCAACTTGAAATCGTCTAATCTTAATGTTGATTTCAACAAGCGTAATAAAATCTATTAATTCAAACAATACCAATAATTTTTTAGGTTGTAAAATGCAGTTCTGAGATTATATTGTAATGTTTAGTTTTATATGAAATATAAATTGATATGTGTGATATTGATATGTGTGATATTGCAGAAACTGTTGCTGCTATTTACACAATACTTTAGTTAATATTATATCTCCATATAAAAGTGGGACAAGTTTGTAAGGATTAAAATGCTCTTTTAAGGAAAAATAAAAATTTTTAACGATATCGACGATCTACTATGACAATCTTTCAATATGATGAATAATTTTCTTGTGTGTGTATAACATAAGGATTAAAAGAATTGTTAATAAATGTCTAAAAGAAACTGCTTGAATAAAAACATTATGTAATATCCAATAATTGTGAGATCACAAAATGAGAAAGCACAAAAGTAAAGAGCTAATCGAACGCGATTTTAATCAATAGTGGAATCATTATGTTATACGACATTTGATATGTGAATATAAATGTTCTTTCAGTACCATCGAGATAATTAATTCTGTCATAATTCGTTACAATGCTGTGTTTTTACAGGGTGCTCTGTATTTTTAACCGTAGAAAGAATACTTTGAGCAGTAATCGCGCGCGATATGTCGCGTTATAAATTCAATTAAAATGTAAAAAATAAAAGTGTCTGGAAACGATTTTTATTTTTAGCGATTCTGAGTTATCTTTGTGGGAACGATTGCAATAAATTGTTAATATATATAAAGATTTTACAAAGACATACACACACAAATATCAGCGTAGTCGCGGCTTTTTCGCTATTTATGGAATCGTTATTAATTCAAAGTGATCGCATATATACACATAGCGTCCGTCAAAATGAAACGTATTGAATAATCATGCAATCGTTTGATGCATATTTCCCATTTCTTGTATATGAAGCGACACGCTGCATACAACTTCGCAAATTAGAACTACCTAGTGAACGGTTGCCGAAAGAAAAGAGACAACATAGTCGGCGCTTATTTTAGCATCAATGAGAAAATTCTTTTTCATCCACCATTTGCCATATTCGGTTACATATCTCGCATCTATGTGTGTTGTGCGTCTCATTATTCTTTATTTCTCTCTTTTCTCTGCAAAAGTTGAGAGAGATTACTTCGAGCACACCGCTTGAAATATCAAATATAAATCAACGCAATTTGCAATCGCTGACATAGAAAGATGACGATTTTTGAGGTTGCGTATATATTTAAAAATGTAATTTATAGATTTTATTATACACATATTGTAAGGATACTGATAATTGTGAACGCGGAAAATTTAAGTAATAAATTTAAAGAAAACTGTGCTAAAAAAACGAGAGCAATTATAGTACTTAGTACTTATCGCAAACATAAAGAATACCTATTAATAATACATATTAACGTATATACTCGTACACACATATCCACATTCAAAAAATGAAAAATATTTAAAATTTATCAGTATATGTATATACATAGAATTTTTACAAGAAAAAGACAGAGTAATAATATCTCTCTTAGAAAGTTTAATATTTTATTTTTGTAATCAATGATTAATTTAATCTAAAAGAATAATTTAGTATTCCAAAGCAAAAATTATCAGCTTAAGTTTTTAATATAATGGAGAAAAAGTTTTAAGATAATTTTAGTATTTTTTACGATAATAGAAATTTTATAAAACGATAGAACTACTGTATATAATTCTGTCTAGAAAGATATGATAACCGAAAAGTATGTAAAGGTAATCAATTTTGCACGACATCAACAACAAACCAATAGGATACGTGCAAGTAGACCAATAAGTTTATTAATATCTCGTACGTGTCTCTCTTATAAGTCGTATTTCGTCATTGTGATAGTGTTGTTCGTGAAGAGAAGACATAGAAATAAGCAAATCACGATTTGGTAAATTAAACAAGTTGATATTGAAAACCTTTAATTTTTTAAAACACCTGAAGATAGCACTTTATTATATTATTTTCCGTATTGAGTTATTCTTTAATATCTCTTTTTTGTGAATTTTGGTGTTGATATTAATTATTAGTACAATGAAAAAGAAAATGCTTATACGCGAATAAACTATGATCTATTCTTTCAAGATGTGCTTTTTGTAAAGAATCGCGCTCTTTCTTTCGAAGTTCTCTACTATTATTTATACATTATTTGTCACAATTTTTGTTTCAACTTTTGATAATTTATGATGATTTTTGATGTTTGGAAATATTTTTTTTGTTAAAATTGTATGTTATTTATTACATTAAATTTTACATATATAAATTGAAATAGATAATAAAATCTTCTATGTGGTAATAAAGTACAATAACCTTTCTAATTCATAAAAATAATCGAGAATAATATTTTTTGTAATAAATGTTATAAGCTTCTTCATCAAATTAATTTGAACTATTGATTTATAAACCTAAGTGAAATAATTTTTGTGACATAGTACACCGTGCGACATTTAAAATTCTTTTCGTTGATATGACTTTGCTTACAGGCAGCAAATATAAATATTTTGAGCTTTTTTTCTCGTTATCTCATCGCGTCTATCTTATTATTAAGATTCAAATATTTTGAAAGCAGCAAAGTTTTATTAATTGTAACGGATACCCATAGCAATAGAAATTTATCATTTACAGCAAATATTGTAAACGATATAAACTCAAACCAAATAATATTTTATCTTCTTCATCATTGGTCATATTTTATTATAATTTTTGTTTTTTTTCAGCAACATGATAATTATCTTTCTCGATACAGTTACGAATTGTTATAATACTTAATGTTTCTGTCATTTCGCAAAGATCTAAGCTATTAAAAAAGTAATGTGTTTGATATTCAAAATATTTACGTTATAGATTTCAAGCAATTGGTGTAATATTGCGAGACTAATAACGATTGTTTGGATAAAGAAAACTGCGAGTTTACCTAGTTAGATTTTTTCAAGAAAAGAGTTGAACACATTTTCACGATGCACTTTATAATACGGACATTCAAAATTATTATTTTTGCAAATTTATTCTCAAGTAAGATAATTTATATCGTAATTTCATAATTAACTACACTCTAGTTCTATGATTATATGTATTATATATATACTACATCTATCTATGATGTGAAAAATGATGTTTATGTTTTTGTTTTTGTTCTGATTTTCTATTTCTTTTTCAATTAATCACAGAAAGTGGTACAAAAATGTATGAGTATAACTGGATATTATTTCCGTAACTTATAGAATATAATAATATATTTGTACTTTTATTATGAGAATAGTAATTTGCTAATAACTTTTACTTCTATTAAGTTGATTTATATATATTCAATTTCTATAACAAAAATAATTTATTAATACAATAAATTTTCTTTTTAGAATATTTTTCATGTTATAATAATTTTTTGTAGTTAACAATTAGATTAAATGATATTATTTTTTCAGATATTATAACAAAACAAAATGAGAATACTACATCGAAAAATAATACACATACGTTGAAAGAATCTGATGACGATGAATATATTGATATTAAGAATAAAGAATTGGATAATGATATTAAGAAAAATAAATTTGATGAATTTAAGGATTATGTTGCTAAGCATATTAAGATATTTACTGCATTGATTTTATGTCTAATTTCTATCGGTGTTTGCACGCTAGGGATAATAATAATGAATTGTTGGGTGAATAACAGGTACATCGATTTTAGCAATAATTGTGTATATAATTTTATATTCAATTAATTTATTTATATAAATCGACTTATGTATTCAATTAAATAGTCAGTTGAAACTATGTGACGGCAAATATTTAAAATATAAAATACAAAACAATATTAAAAATTTGTTACTATGCTTTTATTACTTATATGCTAGTTACTTTAATTTTATTATTTATAAAATAAATAATAAAAATGATAATTGTAGATAATTTCAGATTTAAAAAAGAGTTACAGCACTAAAATTCTAATTGATACAAATACATACACACAAATAAATATATACATGTATATATTTTTTATGTTTTTATTAATTATATTTATATGTTAATATTATTACTAACTAACTTTTGCAGGTTTCAATTCAAGAGCATCATGCAAACTTTCGTAGGTCTAATCCTAATCCTGATCATCAATCAGAACGTGCAGAATGTTTAGAATCTGCAGAACGTGCACAATGTATAGAACGTACAGAAGTACATGTAGAAGCTGGACTCTCAGTTATATATGATGGGAATAATGTAAGTAAAAATAATTGTGTATATAATTTTATATTCAATTAATTTATTTATATAAATCGACTTATGTATTCAATTAAATAGTCAGTTGAAACTATGTGACGGCAAATATTTAAAATATAAAATACAAAACAATATTAAAAATTTGTTACTATGCTTTTATTACTTATATGCTAGTTACTTTAATTTTATTATTTATAAAATAAATAATAAAAATGATAATTGTAGATAATTTCAGATTTAAAAAAGAGTTACAGCACTAAAATGTGTGTTCGTTATTAACTTAATTAAAATTAAAACTTTATTTCAAACAAAAAATTATTAGAATATATACAAAAAGGTTTTATCTAATTTATTATAAATGTTTGTATTATTAAAAATATTTTTTTAATCAATGCAACAGACAGTGTATCAGAAGAAATTATGTTATCGTTCGCGATTGTTGCCGTCGGGGCTTTAGGGATGATATCAATTCTGATCAATCCAGTTATCATCCAGAACATTCCTGTGAAGATTTTTGCCGTTGGCGCCTTATTCCTGATTATTTTAATTTTTGTAAGTCTAATCCTAATCTTGATCATCAACCAGAACGTGCAGAACGTGCAGAATGTGCACAACGTGTAGAACGTGCAGAAGTACATGCAGAAGTAGTTAAAATATTTTGATAAAATTAATTATCTATTTTAAATAATTTTCTATTATTAACAAAATTTAAATTAGTATTATTATGACAATATATGACAATGACAAGTACAAAAAATATAATTTTTCGAACTTGTCATTGTTATAATATTCATATGAACTATATTTACAATATTTACTGCACATAAATATGTATAATGTGAACATATTACATATTGTAATAATTCAATAATACATTATATGTATACTAATTTAGAAATGATGTGTGAGTGTTGAATTCTCTAAGAAAGAGAGATATACTTTTCAGCAATTAATTTGTGTATTAAACTTAGTAACAAATTATGTACTACATTCTCATTGCTATATTTGTATTTTTACGATTTATTGGTTTTCTTTTTGTAATCAAATGTATAATACAAATGTAAAAATAAACAAGTTATGAATAAAAATAACAATTTCTTGACGTTAGCCACATGAGAATCTTATCTGTTTTTTAAATTAATATTTTAACATATTTTAACAATGTTTTCATTTATTTGTTGAATGTAAGTTTGAATACTTTGTCACATGTAGATAGCTGACTTGATGCATTTTTAAAGCATTTATATATATATTTTTTTAGAACAAAAAATTAAAAATTTGTAGCTACGTATCCATCAGAAAAAAAAGAAACGTACTTTAATATTTCTTTCTTATTGTCAACGTATAGTTCAATTTAAAAGAAATTTTTTTGGACGACAAAATTACATATACTGTATATAATTCCAAAATTCTTGTTGAAAAAGATATGATATAATCGACAAGTATTTAATGGTAAGCAATCTCAATACTAACAACCAATAAGATACGCGCAAGTAGACCAATATGTTTATAATATCTCGTACGTGTTTCTCTTATAAGTCGTATTTCGTCATTGTGATAGTGTTGTTCGTGGAGAGAAGACATAGAAATAAGCAAATCACGATTTGGTAAATTAAACAAGTTGATATTGAAAACCTTTAATTTTTTTAAACACCTGAAAATAACACTTTATTATATTATTTTCCGTATTGAGTTATTCTTTAATATCTCTTTTTTTGTGAATTTTGGTATTAATATTAATTATTAGTACAATGAAAAAGAAAATGCTTATACGTGAATAAACTATGATCTATTCTTTCAAGATGTGCTTTTTGTAAAGAATCGCGCTCTTTCTTTCGAAGTTCTCTAATATTATTTATACATTATTTGTCACAATTTTTGTTTCAACTATTGATAATTTATGATGATTTTTGATGTTTGGAAATATTGCTAATAACTTTTACTTCTATTAAGTTGATTTATATATATTCAATTTTTATAACAAAAATAATTTGTTAATACAATAAATTTCCCTTTTAGAATATTTTTCATGTTATAATAAACTTTTGTAGTTAACAATTAGATTAATTGATATTATTTTTTTAGATATTATAACAAAACAAAATGAGAATACTACAACAAAAAATAATACACATACGATGAAAGAATCTGATGACGATGAATATGTTGATATTAAGAATAATGAATTGGATAATAATATTAAGAGAAATGAATTTGATGAATTTAAGGATTATGTTCTTAAGAATACTGATGTACTTATTGCATTAATTATAAGTGTATTGGCTGTCTGTGTTTGCATGCTAGTGATAGTAATAATGAACTGTAGCCGTTGGGAGAATATCAGGTACATCGATTTCTGCAATAATTGTGTATATAATTTTATATTCAATTAATTTATTTATATAAGTCGACTTATGTATTCAATTTAATAATCAGTTGAAACTATGTGACGGCAAATATTTAAAATATAAAATACAAAACAATATTAAAAATGTGTTACTATGTTTATTACTTCTATGCTAGTTACTTTAATTTTATTACTTATAAAATAAATAATAAAAATGATAATTTTAGAAGTAAATAATTTTAGAATTAAGAAAGAGTTACAGCATTAAAATGTGTGTTTGTTATTAACTTAATTATAATTAAAACTTTATTTCAAACAAAAAATTATTAGAATATATACAAGAAGGTCTTACCCAATTTATTATAAGTGTTTTTATTATCAAAAATATTTTTTTAGTGAATGCAACAGACAGTGTATTAAAAGAAATTATCTTATCGTTCGCAATTGTTGCCGTGGGGATTCTAAACAACCCAGTTATCATCCAGAACATTCCTGTGAAGATTTCTGCCGTTGGTGCTGTACTTATGATTATTTTGACTTTCATAAATCTATTCCTAATCCTCATCAACCAAAACGTGCAGAACGTTTAGAACGTGCAAAATGTGCACAATGTGCAGAACGTGCACAACGTGTAGAACGTGCAGAAGTAGTAGCTGAACCGTCAGTTACATATGATGGGAGTAATGTAAGTAAAACAGGTAAAAAATAAAAAATAATAATATAAAATAATATTATAAAATTATTTTTATTTTACATTAAACTTAAATATTTATATTTATCTGACTCTTTGATGCTCATAATATTAGACACAGATATAAATGCAATGTTTTCACTTAAAATGCTATAATTGAAATTATAATTGAAATAATAACTTTGAAAACTCTCTAACTGATACAAACACACACACATAAATAAATATATATATATTTTTTATATTTTTGTTAATTATATTTATATGTTAATGTTATTACTAATTTACTTTTGCAGGTTTCAATTGAAAAGCATGATGCAAACTTTCGTAAGTCTAATCCTAATCCCGATCATCAACCAGAACGTGCAGAACGTGCAGAACGTGCACAATTTGCAGAACGTGCACAACGTGTAGAACGTGCACAAGTACATGCAGAAGCTGAACCGTCAATTATATGTGATTGGAGTAGTGTAAGTAAAACATAGGAAAAAATAAAAAATAATAATATAAAATAATATAAAATAATATTATAAACTTATTTTTATCTTACATTAAACTTAAATATTTATATTTATCTGAC